GAAAACTTGATTATACCAGAATATTAAAAAACTGAGAGGTAGGAGTTCATAGGTTTTGTAGATGCTTTTTTCAATGCAATAATCGAAAAATTATTGAGACTCTGCTTAGTGCCCACCACCACCCCTTGGCTATTGATTCTTATATGCCAAGTCACTAAACTTGTACAGAGTTGGATTGATATTTGTTTTGGGATTGACAATGCCTGTGTTGGAAAGGAGAGCTCACTCTAGGCTTCTTCGTAGTTATTGCGAGTCTCATGGAATAGTCAAACAAATAAAATACAAAAACTATTTGTAAGCAAATGATATATTACTACTGTGCCGCTTCGATCATGCTTTCAAACAAACTATCATCTTCGTTGGGACACATAAAAATTACTCTTTCTTTCGACGTACGTTTTCCACAGTAACTCTGGACAATATCATTAATTACCGAATCGCTTCGTATAAATAGACGGTTAAAAACATCAGTGATGTTTTCTAAATGACCGCACTTTCTCGACAGGAACTCCCGAAAGTTGCGTATATCTTTATTCGTACTCTTCAGTGCCTCCTCACTCAACTCACCAAGACCGACAGAATTATTTCGATAAATTAATTCTGCAGAATGAAACACTAGACTATGCACTGTCATTGAATATTCGACCCAATTAAACTCTTTTGCTACAAACAAAGCAAAGTACGTTGTTAGCTGCCTAAATTTCTGTATTTCTATACATTCTGTGGATGAGACCACACGAAGTATAACAGAATAAGACTAAATTAATTTTTTTAAATTATTTTGTTGTGCTTTAAGCACTGTTTTAATGATCGAATTTCGTAGTTCGTAGGAGAAAAACTTTCGCCCTTGACCATCGGTCGTGTTGGTTCCAGAATTACCGGATGAATCACATTAATCGAGCCTTAGAGCGGTACTTGCTTCTATCTCGTTCAAGACAGTTTGTCGCGTCTTTTTAATTCTGTCCTTGATCATCTCACCACTTTCTGACCATAATAAAAGATCGGCACGTAGATGATATAGAATTTTCAAAAACCATTGAGTACCGTTTATGTATTGATGAGTGATAGTGATGTAGTGCTGCTCACTAATCGATAAAGGTTTACTCGCTAGGCCTTGTCGGATATCGTAGTCATTCTTCTTTCTGACGATTTCATCGTCCTCATTCAACATACGACTATACAGTTCTATAGTTTTTCAGCAGTACGACTTATTGCAAAATAATCAATTTTGCTTATTTTGTTACTATCTTTCCATTCATAAGATTTCGTAGTACATAAAAGACAGTCAGCTCCTCCTAAACCTGTCTCTAAAGTGCGCACTCTAAGATCTTTCATGCTACTTTCGATAGCTGTTTTTAATATATATTTAATATTATTATATTCAAATTCCGTTTCGTTCTCCTGTAAATACTTTTCTTCCGGTTCAAATACTTTGTTAACTAAATCCAACAATTCAGTCGACTCTTTTTCAGCGATTAATGCCAATGGACGGCACCAGTGTGAGCTATTTGGCGACTTGTTCTTCCATAACACTTCACCTGATGATGAATCTGTTAGAGATAGTAGGACACACATCTTACTAAAAATATTGGCATTTTCCATCGGCGTATTTACTGATTTGTATATAGTCATACTCCCAGCACCGTCATGCCCCGTTTTCTCCCAATATTCCAGTTTTGCAGGCACAACTATATTTTGTTGATGTAGCATTTCTATTGTTCGTTTTACAGTTATTTGTATCACTGATTCGCGATCTTGTATAAAAAAAAACGCCGATATTATTTCTCCACGATGTTGTTAAAGGAAGCAGTGTTTTAGAGTGTGTTCGAATATATTCTCTATTCGGTATTTTAATATACGGACTACAAAACGACTTAAGAAAATCCATCTGATTTCGACTTATATCAAGATGTGATTTCAATGCAACGGTCTGATCGACATCCAACTCATTTCGTGTATTAGTTATATCATTATTTTCGTATAACTGTTTTCCGAGCTCAGCGAGTCGGGTGGATGTGAGTGTGGGTGGGTGGGTGTGGACGTGGACGTGGGTGAAGATGTCTACGCCTCAAGCCCACATCCACCCACACCCTGTTTTTATCTGTATATGTTTCAGCAAATTTATATCATCGTCATCGTGAAACACATCTGATTAATTTAATATGGTACGGTAATAATGCTGTGATTATTGTATCAGCTTGTGGGTCGTCCAGGTAGTATTGGTTTCTTTATTGATTTTAGGAAATTATTATGGTTTTTTTTCTTTACAGTATATTTGAACTGTGGCTTCGGTAGATTTTCATGCTATATGATGATTAACTGTACATGTGCTACATTGTTCACATGTTAGTCCCGAAGAAATCTTATTAAAAATAAAAGAAAGACTTTTCTTTAGGATTTTGAGTGTCCACGTTGTCACGATAGTTTTATTGAAGAAGTTCCAGCGCAAGAGCCAACATCGTATGTTTATTATTTACTCTAAATACATAACGGGTGGTCCATAATGAATGACCCTCTCAGTATTTTGCATATTTCTCACCTATAATTCAGCTAAGAAAAAAATTTTTTTTATAGAAAGATTCCTTGTCAAATTCTCTACAAAACGTAGATATTTTTATTATCTTAAATAATTTCCATTATTTTGTAACATGCGATACAATCGATTGGTCAAAGAAGCACAACTTTCAAACAAGAAGTTTCTAGCAGATAGTTTCATGAGAAGTCAATCAAAAAGCAACATAAAGTGTTCAGAAAAAATTTCTTTCATATGAGTTTTTGTAGAGCTTTTTTCGCTGATTCTTTTGGTAAAAAAATGCTTTCGAATTCCATTTATAAATGACAATGTTATAGTCGAAATACTAAACAAGCTTGAAATTTAACTTCGCCTGGTGAGTAATATGAAAAGTCAATTAGTATATCTGAAAACGGTTGTATTGTGGAGATATATGAGATAGTAAGTTTTGTAGAGGAAAGTCTGCTCTACAAAACCCTGTAGGCGATTTTTCAGATACACTGGAATATTATGAATAAATTCCGTTAGAACATTGTAAAGAGTATCTTCCCTAAAAACATAAGGTATCATTTCTTTGATCCTATACAATCTTCCATCGAGATTTCTTCAGAGTATTTAAATGTATTTGAGAATCCGACTATACTGTGTTGTAGAGCAAACTCTCGTCCACGAAACCTACTGAGCTACATTCCTTCATAGCACAGCAGGTTTGAGACATGCTAATCCGACGAAAAACTTCTTGTTTGAAAGTTGTGCTTCTTTGACCAATCGATTGTATCGCATGTTACAAAATAATGGAAATTATTTAAGATAATAAAAATATCTACGTGTTGTAGAGAATTTGACAAGGAATCTTTCTATAAAAAAATTGTTTTTCTAAGCTGAATTATAGGTGAGAAATATGCAAAATACTGAGGAGGTCATTTATTATGGGCCACCCGTTATTTCAAAGACAATAATTAGATGATTATCTTAGTTCTAACTGTAATCCTGTCTTTGTTTAGCTGTTTCTTACAATCAGCCAAAAATTTGTCCAAATGCATCGTGGAACGCAACGGCCATAACCATTGCAAATATCAGTACGATCGGCGCATACCCTTATAGCGTTTTTGTCAATACAAACAATAATGTTTATGTGGCTAACCGAGCAAATGATTTTGTCCTTGTGTGGTCATATGGAAGTACTGTACCTATAAGAAATATCTCTGGCGGTTTAAACTCTCCATCTGGTGTCTTCGGCACAGATACTAATGATATTTATATTGATAATGGAAATTCAAATTATCGAGTTGACAAATGGTCAGTCAATTCAACAAGCAGCGTTCCAGAGATGTACGTATGCGGAATGTGTTTTTATCTGTTTATCGACATCACGAATACTCTTTACTGTTCGATGAATACTAATCATCAAGTTATCTCAAAATCATTGGACAATCGTTTAAATATATGGAATACTGTTGCGGGTACGGGTAGTGTTGGATCAACATCAGTGACACTTAATACTCCTCGTGGAGTTTTCGTTGATAAAAACCTTAATTTGTACGTGGCTGATGCTTTCAACAATCGGATTCAAAAGTTTCCACCAGGACAAGTAAGTGGAATAACAATAGCAGGGAGTGGAGCAACTGGAACAATTTCACTATCGGTTCCCGGTGGAGTTATGCTTGATGCAGATGGTTATCTCTTCATTGTAGATGGTTGGAATCATCGTATTATCGGTTCAGGTCCCAATGGTTTTCGATGTATAGCGGCATGTTCTGGAGGGGGTTCAACATCTACTCAATTATCTTTTCCATTAACTCTTAGTTTCGACAGTTATGGAAATATATATGTTGCTGATCAATATAATCACAGAATTCAGAAATTTCTTCTAGCAATCAATTCATGTGGTAAGTATAATCATATGTCATGATAGAGTATAGTTATAAAATTCAGTTTTATAAGCGGTTCTATTTGTCAAAGTAAAATCATTGCAGAAATTTTCATTAAAACTACATATACATCCAGTTTCTATTTTTAATATTCAATTAGTTAGATATTAAGAGTAGATACGATTATATTCATTAAATGAAATTCTATTTGTTATAGATGAAACTGCGACAACGACTATGACCGATGGTATTTTTTCCTTTCTTTTTCTGTACAACTAATGAACTCCATTTATTTTCAGTAACAGATTCGACGAACACCATCCAACTAACTACCACATCAACATTCACATCTTATGCAAACGGTAATGTAATAACTCAATATTCTTGATTAGTAAACTTAGCATCGAAGTAACATTGTAGAGATTTGAACAAATTTCATTCTACTTTTTTTATGAATAGTAAAAAACATGAGAGTACTGTTTTATGTACTTATACATTCCTGGACAAAAGTAACCGCCTCCCCTGAAGTAGTTCAAATTTTATTGATATTCAGCTGAGTTTTTCTATACATGTGAGTCATGATTAATGCTGATCGCAAGCGCTGGCCAGCTCTCAATTGATTGCTGTACACTTGAGTTACGCATCGAACATTATCTTCACCTTATGATGACTAGAACTCAGCTGCTTTAATACATTTAGTTTCGTAGAACTTATCATTTAAAAGCTCATCATCGAAACTATCTCCAGTATTAGTTTCGTAGAAAAATATTTAAAAATGGCTAAGACATGATTTTCTCAATGAAAATTTTTGTTCATTGATTAAGTCAAGTTTTCATTCGAGCGTATGTAACTCAGGATGGTCTTGACAGATTTACTTGAAAATTTCAGTACAAAGTTCTCATATGCT